GATTATTTTCATATAATTAAAATTAATATATATTTATTTTTTAGAAAATACAAGTTAAGCGGCGCATCCATCGCATTCAATGACAGCATGCCACTGCAAGATAACATAAACATGTAAGACTGGAAAGGAAGGCAGGAAAGCATGTAAATAAGTACAGCTGTCATTATGTTTGTTTACAGCTCTGTACTGTTAAAGCTGATCATACTGATCACAACATATGTGCATGGCACAGAGCTAATGAAAGTTGTGCCTATTTACTTGCTTTCCTGTCTTTCTTGACTTACATGTTTGTTAACTTTACTTGACAATGGCTTGAGTGAGTTATCAATAATTATCAGGCTGTTATATGACTAATTTAAATGATTGATTGAAAACTAATAGTATTTGATTTGTAATAAACTGAATATTATATGAATTACAAAATGTTAGGATACTGGATATTTCCCTGAAGCTATAATTAATTATGTTGGTATTTACACTGGAGGAATAAACCATAAAGGAACAGCTTGGTCTTATTCATTACAAGAGCTTGCTGAAAAAGTAACAATTACAATTTTTTTCAATTAGTAGATTTTATAATTATTTCACATAAAATAATTGCATATTTAATTTAATTTAGTTTGATTTAGAAAATGTTAATGTGAAGTCAAATAGAATGGAGAAAAGAAAACTTGATATATGTAATCATCATTTCCTTTCAAGATTAATAGAAGACAATAAGGATGCTGTCAAATTAGTAGAGAAAGCCCAAGATTTAATTCATCAACTGATTAAAGAGTATGCTTTCTTTTAAAAAAAATAAAATTTGAATTGAAGTCTTTTCATTATTTAATTAATATTTATACAAGATGGTTTAATTTATTTTTTTATAATTTTTTTAATCATACTAGTGAGAATATGTCATCAGAAATTAATTTAATTGATTATTTTAATATTAGAATTAAGTTTGAATCCTGATTAACAATGTAGCTCCTAACATAATTTCGATTTAGTTTTCCATCCTGTGGGCACTAAGAGGACCTTTTTTTATTCTCATTATGGGTTTAGGACTGGGTGATGAGGATAGAATCCTATATAGCCTGGATAAGACAGCCCATGAAAAATTTTGAGATTCCTGATTCAAATTCAAATACAGAGCAGTAGGCTGATGCTTTTACTGCCTCAGTTGTACAACCATTTCACTAATATAATTAAAAATTACACAAGATTTGATAGAATATATTTTGTATGTTATGAATAAGATTGTTATAGTTGAAAATAAATTTTATGACTATTCTCAAATGATTCAGTGAACCAATACAAAACTTTGATTTAAAAAAAGTATAATTAGAATGAATACATTGTTGAAGTAAGAGAGAAAATTCTAAAAAGAATTTAAAAATAGATATTTTCAGCAGGAAAATTTGTAAATACACAATATATCAATGACCAATACCATATTTGAATTTTTTTAAACTCATGAATAAAAGTGCAATGTGTTCAGTAAAAACACAGAAATTTATTTATTTAAATATAATAATTATGAATTAAGTTTTCATAGATGTAAGAATGAAAAATTTTACATGTATATAATTTACGACTGTAAAATATTTAAACATTGAATTATTATACTAAGTTTATAAAATATAATAATTTTTACGGTAAATTTAATATCATTTAGCTTTAGTTTGGAATGAATTTAAAATGATGTTGAAAATAAAAAATTTATATAGTTTGTATATTTTGTTTACAAATCATTATATTTCTCAAATTTAAAATATTTGGTATAGGAAAAATATATCTCCCGTTTGTGATCTGTCAAATGAGTATGTAATGAGGATACTGAAGTATTATATAAAGGTAACTTTTAAGTTATTCTATTTTTAAAAAATTCTTTCTTTTATAAATATTTTATTGGTACTCATAATTTTAGATTAAATGTTTCTCATCACTTGTTTTTTTATCTTAGCATTACTAATATACATAATTTCTAAAAGTTTTTTACTTTTACATTGTATTCATTTTAAAATATTTTAAACATTTACAAAATTTTTTAAATATATAAAATTTTTGTAAAAAAAGAGTCTTGACGTACTTTAATTTCTTAAACAATAAAATGTTTACTTTCTGACAAAAAGTTTCATAGCTTGACAAAGTACAGATCTTTACTTGTAGGCACTTTTCGTCAGAAAGTTAACATTTTATTATTCTTTGAAATGTTTTTTAAAAAATTAAATTACAGTAGAGCTTAGATTATCCGATTCAGTTGGGGACTGGGTTGTTCAGAAAATCGATTTTTTGGATAACCGATTGTGTACGAAAAAATACATTAACCTATCCCATGTTGAAATTCGTTCAAATCCTGGCACATCCTTAAGTACCCTCTCATAGTTGCGCCAATGCTGTTAGCTAAAACACACATTCCAACAAAAATAATATTGGAGTAGCCCAAGACATAGCCAAAGATTGCAGTGCCACAGCACTAGTGAAAATTTAAATTTGCCAACTGGAAAGCTTTCAGTTGATCGACATTTGGATAATCGATGCTCTACTGTATATATAAAAAGCTATCTACTCATAAAATGCTATGTATTATGTATTATTTTTGTTTTTTTGTAATTTTTATTCCTGTTATTTGGGAGTGATAATTCTATGTTGCTATAACAACTTTGCCTTTGTAAAATTAAATAAATAAAATAAAAATAAATAAATTTATTATGATAACATTTTATACTTATTTTACAATTAAACTTATTATCACTGTGCAGAAAAATAAAATAATTAAAAACTATATGTTTTTTATATTATTGTATGATAATTCTGCAACATATTATAATTATACAATCCTTCCAACAATAATATAACATACAGTGTTAGCCCAGAAACTCTTTATTATTTTCATATAACTTTAATGAAATTTTCTAGTATAAATTATAGTATGATATCAACAATTATTGCACAAATTTGGAGGAAAGTGATTAATAAACAGAAGAGCTAGATACTATCAGCAAAAATAGAATGTCCAACATTAATAGAACATCTTGAAATTATGATATCTTTAAATTAAAATTAGTAGTTTATTCTGCTACCATTTTTGGAAACAACTTGAAAAATACAATTAGACATTGCATTAATCAAAGATACGGTTGTTCTTGTGGAATATTCTCCTATGCATCAATGAGAGCATCTTTTAGTTAGTGATGATCTTGTATTACTTTTTAATGCTATATATTTGGAAAACTAAATCACCCCAAAGATTTTCAATTGGGTTTAAATCTGCATTGAGGGGTGTCCAGTCCAAAAGTTGGACGTTCTTGCTTTGAAAAAAGGATAATGTTGATTTTGAGACATGGAGTTTGCATTATCTTGCATGAATTCAAAGTTCTATCTAGCAATTTTCTATTCATAAGTTTGGAGCTGCCTCCAGAGAAGCTTCTGATAAGTTTGAGAGTTGTTTCGACCTTCAATAAATACTAGATCTGGCTTTCCATTTCATCCAATCCCTGCCCAAGTCATGGATGTACCACCATCAGCTAATATCTTTAAGTACTGCTTTCATTCTAGTCTTTTGTCTTCCCAATAATACTTAAAACCATCAGATTCATTGAGATTTTACTTTTTTGCATCTGAAAAAATTACATTTTGCTATCCTCCCTCTCCTTCAAAGTTGTTAATGGCAAACTGTAATTGAAGTTGTTTGTGTTTCTCCTTGAGCTGGTTGCTTGTTTTTATTTTGATGAAAGAAACATTGTGTACTGTACATTTACTGCAGTTAAGCTTCAATTCATTTTTGATTTTTTGAATGGATGTGTTTCTTTGCAGTGCACCTCAAACAATTGCATATTGTCTTCTAGATGTTGTTGAACTCACCCAATGTTTTGTTTTCCTGTTCGTTGCTCCTTATTATTGTAATACTTCGAGATTAAATGTTTCTACTAACTTAAACCAGTTATTTATATTATGGCTGTGTGATAAACCCTAATATAAATAACTTGTTGTATATATAAATTGTTGTACTGTGATGGCTATTTCCCTGGGATTTGATTGTAAAAGTGCATATTATTTTTATTTTTATTTGGTGTAATGTTTCAGTCAATCTTTCAGGGACCTCAATTGTAAGTATTGTGTCCATTACCTTATTTTTTGATATTTAAAGTGGTATGTAACTGATAGCAATTGTGTTCAGAACTCTCTATGGCTGGCTTGTTTATAGAAAACACGAAAATAATAGAATTTATTGTACAGCACTTGTGAGATAATATCAGTTTCTTACTTGTAATGTCTTCATGGTTATTTCGGCCTTTTACTATACCTTTTATGTATTTCTATCTTTTGTTGTTTATTAAAACATCAACTGAACAGAGACTCTTTTAGAATCCAAAATGCATTTTGAGTGTATTGTATACATAATAGATTTAATTATTGTAAAATCTGTTTGTTTTGTAAACTTAAATATAAAATAAATTTAAGAAATTTTGTGTTCATATTCACTGGTATGATAAGCCCTAATGTAAATAACTGGTTTAAGTTAGTAGAAACGTTTAATGAAACAAATCCAAAAAACAATACTTTGAGATTGTTGAATGCGGTCTTCCCAAACTTTTTGCAATCCAATTTACTTTTCTCCCTTCCTGGTAAAACACATCAATTTTGATCTCCTTCACAGTTAGATCCTTCCCATGTCCCATTTTTAATGGTAACATGCTATGCAATTTACTAAACCTTTTTTTTTTTCACTTGTTGATCGTTTTATGCCAATTTTATGCATTCCAATCATTACTTTCTTTGTAATTAATTCCAATCAGTATATTAATGTTGGACATCCTATTTTTGATGATAATATCTAACTCTTTTGTTTATTAATCATTTTTCTCCAAACTTATGCAATAATTGTTGCTATTTTGCTATCAAACATACTAGAAAATTTTATCAAAGTTACAAAAAAAATAACAGAGTTTCTAGGCAATCACTATATGTTCTATTATTGTTGGAAGGAGGACTATATTGTATTTATATGTATAATAATTTATAGGTAATTTATGTAATTTATATACAGACATATATATATATATATATTACGGCTTCAGTGTGAACTATTGTAAAGTACTATATTTAGTGTTTTGCTCTACAACGAATTTTTTTCTTAAAGAGCCGGGACCTAACGGGTAATTTACGCGGGTTCGCATTTGTTAGTTGCCAGGCCTGGACTTTTCGTGTGCACCAAAATAAAGTAAGGACAAAGTTAGTCACAAAAAAATCTCTCAATAATAAATGTTTAATCAAGTCTAACAACACTATGTACAAATTTTAGAAACAAACAACAAATTTATTAAATAAGAAATCAAATCACAATCAACCCGACAAACTTAAGTCTTATTCTAACTTAGAAACTATTCCCCTTGGAATTCCGACAAAACAAAATTCAATCTTAACTTAGTTACAAATTCTCTTATAACTATCGATCCTAACCGTCACCTCAATTAATACTCGGAACCTTTTTCTTCCACTCAAGACTTTCCTCTTTTCCTATCGTCAAAATCGAACTTCAATTTCCTACTAGGATTTCCTATTCGACACCTTGTTCACTGCTACCAGCAGACCAACGCTTTCGGTTCAGGAGCTCACCTCGTCTGTCTTCACTTGAGCTACTGTACTTATAGTCTGAGGTGACGTCACAGTTCTAATTGAGACACTCCCCTCATTTACATATCTACACGTAACATTCTTGTTTTCTCTTCGTTATCTGGTAGCTTATTTCTCGACAATACTTTGTTAACCTTTTACAACATTTCTTTAACAATTATCGGGATGTTTAGTTA